CAAAAAACCCCCAAAAAAACCCCAAAATCCCCCCAAAAAACCCCAAAACCCCCCCAAAATATCCAAAAAAAGCCCCAAAAAACCCCAAAAAAAACCCCCAAAACCCCAAAAAACCCCACCACGAACGTAGCAAAAAGATGAAAATAATATAAAATAAAAAAACCCCCCTTCGAGAGACGCCAGCCCCGCTGGCGCCGGCGCCTGTGGGTTCACAGCTGAGCTCCGCTTTCCCACGGGCAGAAAACGCCAAACTTCTGCATTTTCAGCAGCCTGAAAAACACCAAATTTCTGCATTTTCAGCAGCCTGGGCGAGTGGGGGACGGGAAAAGGGCGAGCTCGGAGTGTGGGGTACAGCCAGCGCCCCAATTCAGCGGGGTTTTGTTGTTTGGAGCTGTTTTGTTCTTTGTTTTTATTGAAAATCCATTCCGGCTCCGTTAAATCTCGGGGAAATCTCTCCCCAAAGGAAGAAGCGGCAGAAATTTGAATTTTGATTTTTCAGAGCGGTTGAAATCCCAGGAAATCCCTTTGGATCCCGGGTGGGATTTAATTTTTCCTTTTTTTCCTGCCTGGATCTCTGCTCGGGGCGCTCCAGACACCCCAAAAATGGGAGAAGAAGACAGAAAAAGTGGATTTTCCTCAAGATCCCTGCAGCAAGAACCCCCTCCCTGAGCCCTCAAAACACCCCAAAACACCCCAAAATACCCCAAAACACCCCAAAATACCCCAAAACACCCCAAAATACCCCAAAACCCAGGTAATTTTGTTCTTTCTCGCAGATGCTCAATAAACCCCCCAGCACCACCAAGGCCTCTTGTTTTTCTTGCAGGAAATCCTCTCTGAAAACCACAATTGATTTTTGCGCTCGAAAGGTTTTTATTTGTTACAGAAATGGGTCCCAAATGTCGCCCATTGCTGCTTCACCTCTCAGCGTTTCTTTTTCACCTTTATTATGGGGCTGGACCCCGTTTTTTTGGTGTTTTTTATGGTTTTGTTGGGGGTTTTGGGAGTGTAGAATCTTATTTTTTCATTATTGAATTGCTGTGTTTTTTTGGGGGGGTGAGGTGATGGAGCTGAATGTGAGATGCTCCATAATTATTTTGTAAAAAAAGGTTTTGATTCTTCTCCTGGCCACCGCTCCGAGACATTTTAAAGCTATTTAGGTAAAGGAAATAATCGTATATTCCTGTCGTGGCCTTGAGGCGATCGGCGGCGTGAGCTGCCCCTAATCCGGGGCAATAACCGGGCCGCGGCCGGAGGGGATTGACCCGTTAATCGACGTTAAACGGCTGGGATCGTGCGTCAGAGCCGCCTAAGCCGTCTCGGAGGGGATTCGGGACGCTGCCGGCGGAACAGCGGCTTAGGGCAGCACCGAGAGGCCGCTCCGTGCCCTGAGGGCTCCAACCCGCCATGATAGCTCCGGGGCGCTGAGGGGGAGGCGGGGAAAAGGCAGCTCCCAGCCAATAGCAGTGCAGGATTGGCAGAGTGACATCGCTCTCAGCCAATCAGCGGTGAGGAACGGAGGGGGCGAACCCGCTCCGGCGGGAAACGGCTTACTGAAGTGGGAGGCGGTACAAAGCGAGGTAACAGCCAATAGGAACGCGATATTGCTAGAGTGACAGCAAGTGTAGCAAATCAGTGACGGGGAACGGAGAGCACGAACCCTCCCCGGAGGGTACGGATTTCTGAAGGAGGAGGAGGAGGTGCAGAGAACAGTCTCAGCCAATAAAAATAGGAGTTTATGAGAGTGACAGACCGAACAGGGAATCGGAGATGGAAAACGGAGACCGCGATTCTCCCCGGAGGGCTCCGAACCGCGCCGGTGGAAGGCGGGGCGAAGCGCGCGGCCAGCCAATAGGAACGCAGGGATCGCAGAGTGACATCCTGCTCAGCCAATCAGCGGCAGAACACGGAGAGCGCCCTTCGGCTTCCATCCGCCGCCTTTCCCCCGCGCCTGCGCCGTGAAGCGATGGCGCCCACGCACAAAATGGAGTGCGGCGGGCGCCGGTGCGGGCCCGGCGCTCCCGGTGCGGCCCCCGCGGCTCCTCATCCTCCTCCGCTCCTTTCCCCTTCCCTCCTCGGCCCGGGGGCGGCGGCAGCGGCGGGCAAAAAGAAACGCGAGGTCCCACCGAGATTTGAACTCGGATCGCTGGATTCAAAGTCCAGAGTGCTAACCATTACACCATGGGACCGCTGGGTGTACCGGGAGGCGCCGCGCGCCCTCCCTATCCCTCCGCCCGCGCCAAATAGTCCCGGCCCGCGCGCTGGCTCCGGGAATTCCGGGAATTCCGGGAATTCCGGGATGTTCCCGGCCATAAAACCCTCCTGAAATCCCGCTCCCGGCGCCGTTCCACCCCCCGGGACAGCCCCGAGCTCCGCCGCCGGCGCTCTCTGCCCGGCGCTCTGATTCCCACCTTTAATTTGGGATTTTCTTGTTTTATTTCTGCCTTTATTCCTCTGGGATTTTCCTTTTCCTTCCTCCCTTCCCTTCTCTATTTCCCACTTGAGTTTTTCCCACTCCGTTTCCCATTCGTTCATCCGCTTTTTCTCTGTTCCCCCTTCTTTCCTGACCCTTTATTTCCCAATTCTCTGTTCATTTCTCCTTTCCATTCTCCCCTTTTCCCCAATTTAATTTTTCTATTTTCCCTCTATTTCATTTTATTCCCTCCTTTTCCCATTTCCCCTTTAACTTTTCCCCATTTCTTGATTATTTCTCTTGCATTTCCCTGATTTTTCCCTTTTATTTATCCCTTTTCCCTTCATTACCTCCAATATTCCTCTTTCCCCCTCCATTTTTTTCCTCTTTATTTCCCCCTTTAATTTCCCTTTTTTCCCCCATTTATTCTCCTATTTCTCATCTATTTTCCCTCTATTCCCCTTTCCTTTTAAATTTAAATTTTCCCCTTTATTTTTTCTCCTCCCTTTTTCCCTCCCCGATCCCACAAATCCACGCAAACACTTGGAATTTTTAAATTATTTTTTTTTTTGTTTGTTTGTTTCGCTTTTATTTTTCATGACCAAACAGCAGAAATAAAGCGATTTGTGGCCAAAATAAAAAATAAAACTAATAAAGAAAACCCTCCTGCCTGGAAAAGAAACGGAGCCCGGATCCATCCCAAATCCCAGGAAAAGGGAAGGATGTGGATCAGGAGAGGCGAGAGGGGAAAAAAAAAGGTGAAAACAACTCCGAAAACATCCCAGAAATCACCGTTTTTACCTAAAAAAGCTGGAATTTCCTGGGAAAAGCAGCACCTTTGGATGCTCCCAAAAATCAGCTCCACCCCCCCCAAAAAAAACCCCAAAATGTTGGAAAAATAGGAAAAAATAAAGAAAAAATCAACTTGGATTCCGCGGGGAGGCCGGAGGGGGAAGGAGGAAATATCCACGGAAAACAAAGGAATCGAAAGGAAAATCGAGGATTAAAAGTAAAAATAGAAATAAAAATAAAAATAGGAATAGGAATAAAAATAAAAATAATAAAAATAAGAATCAAACTAGAACTGGGATCAGTCCCAGCCCAGTCTGGGGCTGCTGAGGTCTGGAGCTTCCAAGGATTCCCGATCCGCTTTCCTCGAGGAAAAGCAATCCTAGAAATCCTCGATGATTTTTTTTTTTGTTTGTTTGTTTTTTAATCCTATTTTTTATTATTATTTTTTCAAAGATTTTTTTCTTTGGAAAAAAGTGAAATTTTTTCTTTTTTTTTTTTTTCTATTTTTTTTTTGGTAATTTTTTTAAAAAACTTTTTATTTTTTTTTTTCCTTAAAAAAACTTTTTATTTATTTTAATTTTTATTTATTTTTTTTTTTATGGAATTTTCCTTTTCTCTCCAAAGTTGCTCCCGGGAGCGTCACCTGTGCCTGAGGTAGATCAAAATTCGGGATGAGAATTCCCGGGATCATCCCGGGCTCCTTCCCCGGCTCCGCGGGCGTTTCCTTGGGATCATCTCCCGCTTCCCTGCCTTTTCCCGGGATTTAACTCATCCCAGAGCTGCAACAGCGGGGTCCTGGATGAGGCCATTTCCTCCTGGAATTCCAGGGAATTCCGGATCCGAGGAGCCGATGGAACTCGGGGGTTTTTGGGGCTGAATTCCCGCCCTGATTCCCGTCAATCCCGCGGATTTCCCGGGATTTAATTCACCCCCAGGTGCAGGTTAAGGCTGGGTTTCTCCTGGAATTCCGTGGAATTCTCCATCCCAGGGTGAAGCTGGATGCGAGGAGCCGATGGAATTCGGATCCAATCACCCTAAGGACGAATTCCCGCCCTGGTTCTGCTGAATCCCGCGGATTTCCCGGGATCGGCCGTGGGAGAGGCGTTCCCTGCCCGGGATCTGCTCTTCCCGCCCGGAAAATTCCCTCCCCCAAAATTCATCCGGCTCCAAAGACATCCCAGTGCCGGGATCCCAAAAATCCATCCCAGTGCCGGGATCCCAAAAATCCATCCCAGTGCCGGGATCCAGGAATCCATCCCAGTGCCGGGATCCAGGAATCCATCCCGGAAATCATCCACACGTTCTGCTGGAGCATCCCAAAATCCTGATGGTCCAGGAGAACTTCCCGAACCCTCGGGGGTCCGGCAGAGAATTCCCAAAATCCAGCGGAACGTCCCAGCCCAGCTCATCCCACTTCCATGATTTTGGCGGAAGATCCCGCCCGGCTCCCAGAGATCCCGGGAATTCCTCTCCCACGCGGAAACTCCGGGAATTCCGGATGAGGAGCCGGGATCGAGCGGGTGCTGGAGCCAGCCGGGCTTTTCCAGGGGATTCTTGGGAATTCTCCCTCCTCTCCGCCTTCCTGGAATGTTCCAGAGCCTTCCTCACGGCTCCTCCTCTTCTTCCTCCTCGGCTCCATCCCAAAATTCCGCCTCCAGCGGGAAGATCTGAGGTAGTTCCAGGTGTGTGATCCCAGCTGGAAGCGCTTCCCAAAAAACCAAAAAAACCGGGAAAATCCAGGCTGGAAGAGCGTCGGGAGGGTTCCGCTCCACTCGGGAATCCGTGGGAAAAGTGGGATCAAATCCAAAGCCAGCCTTAGGGAATGGGGGGATTCCCAAGGGAATTCCAGCCGGGATTGGTTTCTCCGAGGCCGATTCCCGGGATCCGCGTGGGAAAATCCAGCCAAGCTCTGGCGCCGCCGTTCCCGGAACCAAATCCCGGTGCTCCTTGTCCCGGTCTTCCATTCCAAGCTGGATCCGCCTCATTCCCGTTTTCCTGCTGGATTTTTTGGGAACTTTTCCAGGTTTTTCCCTTCCAGGCCGGATCCGCCTCTCTCCCGTTTTCCTGCCCCCTCCAGGATCCCGATTTTCCAGCTTTTTTCCAGAGGAAAGTGGGAGAAGCTCCGAGGTCTCTTCCTTCCCATAAATCTCTTGGATATAAATGAAATTTCCCGCTGGAAAAGGCAGCGGGAATTCCCCCGGGAATGGGAACAGGGTGGGAAAATCACCAGAGATTCCCGGAATTGTTGGAATTTCAGGTCGAGATCTTCCCAGAGATCCCAGAGATGGGATCTGGGAATTGTTCTCCCGGTTTTTAGTGCTGGGTTGGGACGGGATGGGAAAAGTTTGGGAATGGGAGTTTCAAGTATTCCAAACCACCTTTTCCTGACAAAAATTCCCAGGAAAAGCCGGAAAAGGCCCAAAGCGGCTCCTCCCCCCTGGAGATTTTTGGGAATAAAAGCTCCGAGCTCCGCCCCCGGCGGAGGGGATCCCGCATTCCCGAATCCCGGATTTTCGGGATGGGGAGAGGTGGGAAGTGGGATCGGGGAAACAGCACCAAAAGCGGCTTTTTGGGATCAGCTGGGATTGGATTTTCATCCAAAAATTGGATTTTCCTGCAGGACCGAAAAAAATGGGAAAAAATGGGATTTCACCCCCCAAAAAAATGGGATTTCACCCCCCAAAAAATGGGATTTCACCCCCCAAAAAATGGGATTTCACCTCAAAAAAATGGGATTTTATCAAGAAAAAATGGGATTTTACCAAGAAAATTGCGATTTTACCAAAATAAATTGGGATTTTAACAAAATAAATTGGGATTTCCCCCCAAAAACTGGGATTCACCAGGAAAAATTGGGATTTCCCCCAAACCAGAAGGGATTTTGGGAAGAGCGATCACCCTGGGGGGTTTTGGGGTGGGGAGAGGCCGATCCTGGGCTGGGAATTCTCCTCTCCCTCCTCCCTGTGCGTTTGTAGGGAATAAAAATCAACTCCTGCTTAACGAAGGAATTCCTTAATTAATTTCTCTCTCTCTCCTCCTCCCTTTTTAAAAATGATTTTTTAATATTTTTAAGCTTTTTTAATTTTTTTCCCTTTTTTAAAGATTTTTTTCCTTTTTAAAAATTTTTTTTCTTGTTTAAAATGATTTTTTCCTTTTTTTTAGATTATTTTTTCCTTTTATAAATTCTTTTTTCCTTTTTAAATTTTTTTCCTTTTCTAAAAATTATTTTTTCCTTTTTAGTTATTTTTTCCTTCTTTAAAAATTATTTTTTTCCTTTTAAAAATTATTCTTTCCTTTTTAAAAAATTATTTTCCCTTTTTTTTTAAAAAAAAAATATTTTCCCTTTTTTTAATTAATTTTTAATTTATTTTTTTTTAATTAATTTTTTTTCCCTTTAATTAATTTTTTTCCCCCCTCTGTAAAACGGAGGCAAAAAAAAAGAAAAAAAAAGAAAAATCTCTTTAAAAATAAATTTGTTTTTGTGTTTTTTTATTATAATTTTTTAATTTGAATTTTGGCAGCGCCGTAGCAGATCCGACGGATCGACACCACCCCCCCGGAATTCCGGGAAGCTCGGGATCACCTCGGGATTTTGGGATCTTTAGGAATTTTCTATCAAATATAGAAAAAAACCCCAAAAATCTCTTTATGGCTTCCGAGAAACAAAACCAGCCCCAAAATCCCGTTTTTTCACCCCGTTTTGCATAGAAAACGCTGCCCAGGAGTGGAAAAATTCCCAAAAATCCACGGATTTGGCTGGATCCGATGGGGAAAATCCTTTCAGGCAGCACCGGGTTCAGGTTTGGTTTTTCCCCTTTGAAATCCCCGGAAAAAAAATCGGGGAAAAAAATAAAAAAAAATTCAAGTTTTTCCCGCTGGGAAAATTGGGATTTTCCCGAATTTTTTTGTTTGGAGAGCTCCGATGCCCGAGAGCCGAAATCCCTGAGCTGGGAAAAGCTCCAAAATTCCATAAAAACCACAAAAGCTGAGGGAGCCGCTGCCATCTTTTCCATTGGATCCCGAATTCCCGGAATTCCGGGGAAAAAAAACAAAAAAAACAAACCAAAACTCCAAAAAATTTCTCTTTTCCTTTTCTCTCTTTCCTTACAAAAATAAAATCTCCGGCCCGGCCCCGAGCGGGGAGAAATCCCGGAATTCCCGATATTCCGCGGCTGAGGTAATGGCGCCTGAGGTAGCTTCTTCATTCCCGGGAATGGCAGAATTCCAGGGAATTCCCGCTGCCCTTCCCGAAATTCGCTTTTCCCGCTGCTCCCAGGGGCGTTTTGGGGAGGATTTTCCCCCAAAATTCCTTTCTGGGAAGGGCTGGGCTCCGTTAAATCCACGGCAAAAGCCTCGGGGCCGGGTTTGTCCCAAATTCCCGGTTTTTAGACTCATCCGGGAGCTTCCCAAGTTTCTTTTCTGTCCCTCAAAATCCATCCCGGTTTCCCTTTTTTTATCCCGAATTCCCACTTTTTAAGCTCGTCTGGGAATCCTCCCATCGCCCTTCTCCCTCAAAACCCATCCCCGTTTCGCATCCCGCCCCAAATTCCCGATTTTTCCGTCTCCCGGGAATATCCCGGCTTTCCTTCCACCATTCCTCTCCAAACCCATCCCAATTTTCCTTTTTTCCTCCCCAAATTCCCGTTTTTCTCCCCCCCTCCTCCAAATCCATCCCAATTTTCCTCTCCCGCCCTCCCCCTTCCAATCCTGAGGGAATTCCCTGGAAAATCCCTGGATTTGGGGCTGGAATTCCCGGAGCCCAGCCCTGGCGGGAAGCGGCAGCTCCGGACCCTTCCCAAAATATTCCCAAATCCCAAATCCTTCCCCCCTCCCCGGAGCGCTGGGAATCAGCGACCGCCGACATTCCTGAAATTCCCTTTTTTCTCCCCTGGGAACCGGGATTTTCCTGCAGGAATGAGGAATTTGGGAATTCTTTTTTCCTCAAATCAGGAAAAAAAAAATCGTTTTTTAGCCCCGATCCCAAATTTTTGGGAATTTTTTTTCCTTGCTGGAGGGATTTGGGAATGAGGAGCCCCAGATTTGAGTGGATTCAAAATTCCCGAGGGATTTTCCTGCCTTTTCCAGCTCTCCCCAATCCCTTGTGCACGGAATTCCTGGATTCTGGTGGAGATCGGGATGAATTCCATGGGTTTTTACCCCCAAAAAAAAGGAATTTTGGGCCTTTTTCCCTCTTTTTTCCGGCCGTTTTTGGGGTGGGTTTATTGCTGTTCCCGATGGGAAAAGCTGAAGCTTTTCCCGGGATAAATTTTCCTCATCCTGAGGAAAGGTCGGCACCTCCACAGCAGTAATTGGTGGGAAAAAAAGAGGGAAAATGGGAAAAAAGAGAGGGAAAATGGGAAAAAAGAGAGGGAAAAAAGAGGGAAAAAAGAGGGAAAAAGTCTCGTGTCCCATTCCTGCCAGAATTCCAAAGGCTTCCAAAAAACCAAAAATAAAAAAATTAGAAATCATTGGATGAAATCCATTCAAAGAACGGAAAGAGGGAAAAAAAAATCCCTGGAAAATGCAGGTTTTTCCTGGCTTTAAAGGATTTCCAAGGCACTGCACCCCAATCCTACTGGGGGGTGAGATTCCCAATGGAATTCCCAATGGAATTCCCAATCCTGCTGGGGGTGAGATTCCCAATGCAATTCCCAATGGAATTCCCAATCCTGCTGGGGGTGAGATTCCCAATGGAATTCCCAATGGAATTCCCAATCCTGCTGGGGGTGAGATTCCCAATCCCTTCAGGGGGTGAAATTCCCAATGGAATTCCCAGTCCTGCTGGGGGATTCCCGATCCCTGTGGAAGTGATTCCCGATCCCAGCTCATTCCCGATCCCAGCTCATTCCCGATCCCTGTGGAAATGATTCCCGATCCCAGCTCATTCCCGATCCCAGCTCATTCCCGATTCCTGTGGAAGTGATTCCCGATCCCTGTGGAAGTCATTCCCGATCCCAGCTCATTGGAAGTGATTCCTGATCCCTGCTCATTCCCGATCCCTGTGGAAGTGATTCCCGATCCCAGCTCATTCCCGATCCCTGTGGAAGTGATTCCCGATCCCAGCTCATTCCCGATCCCTGTCTCCCTGCAGTTGCTGATTCCCCGGCACTCGGAGCCCGGCCTGGCTGCGCCGTGTCCTGGTTTTTCCCGGGATTTGGGATCCGGGGGTTCCCTATTTCCTCCGGGATTGGCTCTGGCCCTTCTGCTGCTGCTGCTTCACCTGCGCCAGGATGTCCCGGATCTTGCGCTGAGCCATCTGGGAATGACAGCCAGGGATCCATGGAATCCGCCCCCATTCCCCGCTCCAGCCCCTTCCGCTCCCAATTCCCACCCAAATCCGGCTGCCCGTCCCAAGGCTCTGCCCTGCTCGTCCTGGGAATAACGGAAGGGATCCATGGGATAACGACCCCAAATGTGCGGTCTGAGCACCCCAGGAGCACCCTGGGAACCTTGGAGAACCTTGGAGAACCCTGGAGAACCCTGGGGAACCTTGGAGAACCTTGGAGAACCCTGGGGAACCTTGGAGAACCCTGGAGAACCTTGGAGAACCCTGGAGAACCCTGGAGAACCCTGGAGAACCTTGGAGAACCCCTGGGAAACTTCTGGAGAACCCTGGGGAACCTTGGAGAACCTTGGAGAACCCTGGAGAACCTTGGAGAACCTTGGAGAACCCTGGAGAACCCTGGAGAACCCTGGGGAACCTTGGAGAACCCCTGGGAAACTTCTGGAGAACCCTGGGGAACCTTGGAGAACCCTGGGGAACCCTGGGGAACCCCTGGGGAACCCTGGAAAAGCTTGGAGCAGCCTGGAGAACCCTGGGGAATCCCTGCAGCACCCTGGATTCCCCAGATCCCCCTGGATCCCCCCAGATCCCCCCGGATCCCCCCGGATCCCCCGCACCTGGCTGGCGTAGAAGTGCCCGATGATTTTGACGATCACCTGCTCGTTCTCGTCCGGGCTCTGCTCCCGCGGCACCACAACCTCGGCGGCCGTCAGGTTCTGCAGCTCGTTCACCTGGGGGAATCCCGGGATCACCCTGGGATCACCCTGGGATCACCCTGGGATCATCCCAGGATCATCCCGGGATCACCCTGGGATCACCCTGGGATCACCCTGGGACCCTCCCGGGATCACCCTGGGATCACCCTGGGATCATCCTGGGATCACCCTGGGACCATCCCGGGATCACCCTGGGACCCTCCCGGGATCACCCTGGGATCACCCTGGGACCATCCCGGGATCACCCTGGGATCACCCTGGGACCATCCCGGGATCACCCTGGGACCCTCCCGGGATCACCCTGGGACCATCCCGGCGGCATTCCCGGGAATCCCGGGGTCACCCTGGGACCCTCCTGGGATCACCCTGGGATCATCCCGGCCGCTTTCCCGGGAATCCCGGCCGCTTTCCCGGGAATCCCGGCCGTGTGCCCGGGAATCCCGGCCGCTTTCCCGGGAATCCCGGCCGCTTTCCCGGGATCCCGGCCGTGTTCCCGGGAATCCCGGCCGCGTTCCCGGGAATCCCGGCCCCTTTCCCAGGAATCCCGGCCGCTTTCCCGGGAATCCCGGCCGCTTTCCCGGGATCCCGGCACTCACGGTCTTGCCGCCCTTGCCGATGACGCGGC